TGACCTAATTTGCATATTTGATGAATATTCATAATTTTTGTTTTCTTAAAAAAAAAAAAAAATCCATACCTGTCTGATATACATAGGTTTCATTGATGTATCATGTTCGGTTTTGATTTGATTACATTATGCGCATATTAATTAGACGGACTTAGTTATTTTCACAACTTTTTCATATCTGCAGATTCGCAAAAATGGCAAAAATTACTTATTTTGTTTGCTTCTGTTTTCAAAACGGTAATAGATATATGAATTTTCTTTTTTGTATTTTTTACCACAAAGATGATATTTTAATGTCTGATAATTTAATTTATCATTTGTGTCCAAGAAAGTGATGAATTAAGTTGTCAACTTTGTCGAGTTTTGCCATTTTTGCCAATTTGACCATTTCTGGCAGGTTTTTAGGTAATTTTGCGATATCAAAAAAATGGTATAAAATCACAACGCATTGACCGATTTCTATTCTGTTTTTTGTTTTTTGAAGCTTTCATAAAGCTTGATCAAATAACATGTGTTTGTTGTACTTATTTTTGGTGTGCTATACCTACTACAAGCCTGGAATCGTGATACTAACACCTAGCGGGCATCGCTCGGTTTTGAGTGTTTTTTGTTTTTCAAAATGAAATATATTGGACTATTTGCATTGATTGATTATCCACTTCTGATTATAAAGATGAAGATAAAAGTAAACAAGTTAGCGACGGTTTCAGACACATCTGCTACGTGATTTATAAGGAGGGGGCAGTAGTTATTTACTATCATAACTACTTTTTATTATACAGGTAATGGTTAATCTAAAAAAACACTTTATATTCCAAACCTTTGGAATAAAAAGTTAAAAAAATACATTGCTAGCATGTAAGACAGAACATATATAAATATCTTATTCTTAAGAGAAATCCTCAGAGGTTTACGGCAAAATTTTGCCATGGGAACCAAAGACTCTTGTCCAAATATGTACTTTCCAGTTTTCAAATTCTGCGAGCGAGATAATTAAGATGATATTATAGTAAATCTGCTATGTCGTCAACAAAATTAACTATACAGCAAAAGAAATTAAAAGCGTTCTGTCTTGTCAGCCGAAACTGGGATAGCGGTAGCCCGACTATCGGTCATTCCATTGTTATTTAATGTATTTATTTATTTTTGTTTGGGGGAGGGGGTTCGGCCGCTTCTACCCCATGCCTCGTACACCTATGAAAACTTATTAATCTTCACTTTTAAATGTTTGTATTGTCCTTGGAAAAAAGGATTTGTGAGTACTTACCGCTTTGAAAGAGAAAGATCAGTAGACCAACGTGGAAGAAAGTAAGATGTGTCGCCATTCTGTCTGAGCACTTTAACGTTTACCACATAATGATACGTGCTGTTTTAATGCTTGCTTCACTCAATGTCTTCTTTAAACAAATATATTTTGGAATGCATGGATAACACCACGTACACCCATATAATACAGTGCTCTTATCTTACAGTCATTACAAAACCCTTTCTTAGTCTTTATTCGCATCTTACTTTTCTTGTTCATATCATTTTATTTTCCGTACGTTTAGGGGCATCGCAAACAAAATTCTGCGATATTCTTACGCAAAAGAAACTAGTTCAGCTTAAGTAACAATGTTATCTTTGTCACGAAACATCCGTGTTTATAGTTTGATTAAGTTTGATTATCAATGAGGACTGTATATACGTGTTTTTGATAACAATATTTTTCTAGATTTCACCGAGTGAACTGCAAATTTACCATATGTCTGCTGAGAGCCAGAGAATATTTTTGCTGTTATATAGACAGTCCTTCTGTTTTTAAATTTTAATACATAAAATGATATTCATCGGCGCGAAAAGAAAAAAAACTCCTACATTTTGTCTGACTTCTTCTCCTTCTCCTTCTTCTACTCCTTCTCCATCTGCTGCTTTTTCTTTCTTTTTTTCTTCTTCTTCCTCTTCTTCTTCTTCTTCTTCTTCTTCTTCTTCTTCTTCTTCTTCTTCTTCCGCTTCTTCTTCTTCTTCTTCTTCTTCTTCTTCTTCTTCTTCTTCGTCTTCTTCTTCTCTGTCTTAATTTCCCATTCCTATTCCAGTTTTTTTTCTATGTAGTTCTTAATCTGCAGTTAATGAGGTTCCCATTTCAACTAACACAAATAGACCAACTTAATTCTGATTCTGTATATTGCCCTGTTGCGCCACTATATCGTGATGTCATCATTTCTAAAGATAATTCAGGAGATCATATTGCAGTACGGAATAGGTACTGTAAAATGTTGGATGCCCAAAGAAGCATTTCGAGGTAGTATTCTACACTTAAGAAAAATCCTAGCTAGTTTATTGTATCCCGTATGTTTTTCTTTCATTTCAAGGCACCAAAATATTAGAGATCAACAGACCATTGATAACCTCTCTCCAGTTGACTGACCTCGAGACCAGACGAAAGATTGCCCGACTCAATATGATGTACAAAATCAACGCAAACCTCGTAGACGTTGACTGGAACGCACACTTCCAGAGACCTAGAACCAACTCAACAATTTACTCAAATAGCTTCTTCCCATGGACTGTTAAATATTGGAACGACCTGCCTCATCACATAGATATTTTTAAGAAAAGGCTCTGCGATTTTTTCACAAACACCAATTGGAAATAATTCTACCAGGTCAACCCCCAGGTCAGCCCTCTGACGCGATGCGGGATCCCGCTTTGTCGGAGTAAAATCCAGAACCAGAAACAGAACCAGAACCATTTAATCGTTAAACATGACAAACATCTCGTGCAGTTTTCCAGCATCTCCATAAATATGGTTATTGAATTTTCTTCTGAATTGTGACCCGAATTAGCTGTTCTTATTTGCTTTTGGTCGCCAACAATTCGTCGCTGTTTTCACGAAGTGACGGTAGTGAAAACAAATTGCATTCACTTTGCGTGACGATTTTCCTCACTACCGTCACTTCGTGAAAATAGGGACGAATTAATCAAGTTTCCCCCGAGATTCTATAGCAAATACTTGAAGATTAGACTTATTTAATGTTTGCTTGATTGGCGAATTCCGCTTGAGATAAAATAACAGATACGATTGTATTTGCGATCAGTCAAATATGTATACAGTGATCTATCCTATTCTTTTTACAAAGAATTAAGATGACAGAAATCTGTGATCTCTATCGTTTCAAAGTTTTTATTTTAAAGACATGGAACTCGAACAGTCTAAACTCTTGCTCTCTCTGAGCACTTTTTGTAATATTGATCAAATGGATTGAACGAAGCAAAAAAATTCTTTTCAGTCAGTTTCCTATTTTAGACGAACCTCTAGTTCAAAACTATATCCGATATTCCTTATCCTAACCCTAACGAACCTAAAGCAAATCAGAACTTAAGTCCTAACCCTGCACGTGATATGTGACGAAATGAAACCCATGGCAAAATGTCACCAGATCAATGTTGAATCGAGCCGACGGTACTGAAATGGTTAGTAGTCTTGAATGAAGACATTTATTCATTCATTTATTCATTCATTTATTCATTCATTTATTCATTCATCATTCAGTCACTCACAGTTAAATGTTTTCATTTAATTTCAATAATTAATCAAATTTCAATATTTGCATGGCTGAAACATTTGGTTTTATGAATATTTCAGTTGTTGAAATTTTCCGACCTAACGACAAAGTTAATTATTTGAAATTAATAAATATAGTCGAGTTCAGGAAAGAGTTATAATACTGTTTTCTATAGTCAGTCACGGTAAATAAACCCTTCGTATTTAAAATTAGATTTTACAGAAGCATTGTACTAGTATGCCAATTAATATAATTTGATATCATATTAATTGTTGATGATGCTGTTGTAGTTGCTGTTGTTCCTGCTGCTGCTGATGTAAAATGTTTATTCTTCTTCTTCTCCTTTTTCCTCTGTACCTTTTTCTTCTTCTCCTCCTATTTCTTCTTTTCCTACTTATTCTTTATATACTTTTTCCTTTTCATCATAATCTTTTGTTTTCCTCCTCCTCCTTCTTCTTTTTCTTCTCTTTCTTCTTTTTCTTCTTCTTCTTCTTCTTCTTCTTCTTCTTCTTCTTCTTCTTCTTCTTCTTCTTCTTCTTCTTCTTCCTCTTCTATTTGGCTATCAATGGTTATAGAGGCTTCGTGGTAGAGTTGTTTATTCACCTGATTCTCAATCCAAGGGTTGAGGGTTCAAATCATAGCCCGGCACTAACGTCCTTTGGCAAGACATTAATCCACATGTGCCACTCTCCATCATGGTGTAAATGGGTACCTTGTCGTTGCTGGTGGTAATAATTATTACAGGCCTCTCAGGAAGAACAGCAATGGTTTTGCTGAGGCTTCGAAACAACATTATTATTGTTATTTAAAAAAAAAAAAAATATTACCGAGAAAAACCGTTCCCTTTCTTTTGAAATTTCTTCTCTTTTAATTTTTGCATTATACTTTGGTAAGTCTCATTTTATTCATTGATGGCCCAAATATAGAACAGGAACACCAGTACCTAAAAAATGCTGATCTGGGGGGTGTTTCATAAAGCTGTTCGTAAAGTTACGCATGACTTTACGAACGACTTGTATATGAAAAGCCAAATGGGATGTTCAATCATTATTGATTATTATTTATTAAGTTGAACTGTGCAGATGTAGATTAACATTCTTATTATAACAACCATTTTTAATGCAAAGTATATTTTTTGCCATAATTTAATTGAGGTTATTGGAAATATCAGAAAAAACTTTGGGCATCCTATCTGGCACTTCATATACAAGTCGTTCGTAAAGTCATGCGTTATATTACGAACTCTTTATGAAACACCCCCCTTGGTATTTTATACCATTTCTGGAGCATTGTCCTATAAAGACTACAGATCTGAGCATGCGCAGAATTTGAGTCACCGATTGGCTGAACCTTTCACGGGTATTGATATCATTCCGCGAAGTTGAGATTAGAACATGGAGTGGATGGAATCAGCTGCGAAAAATAAACGACTTCGGCTCTCTGATATATTTAGAAATATTACAGACCAGATGATCACAAGAGTTTAAAGAGTCCTCGATTAAGCTGATCTGTTGCATTCGTCGCGTTTAGAGTTAGGTAACAGCTGTGTATTCTTCAAGAGTCGAGAGGTTGTTGGTGAAGTTTAACAGCTCAGGAAGAGCCATCATGTCGAAGGCAATCTTACTATGCTTCCTGCTCGTCGTAAGTGCGGGGAATTCTCTGCAAGCACAAAATGGTAAGCTGTCTTTGATACCTTCACCGTTATCCCTCATAGTTTCCGAAGATACATAACCATCAGTGTTATCCTTCCTGCAATACTTCCTATATTGTGATTGGTAATCAATCATGCTTTTAAAAATGTTAGTAGTTTAATAAGTTAGTTAGTTATTGAATTTGAATTGAATTTCTTTATTGTTATGCACAAAATAAAATGAAGGCATAAAAATCGTCTTACGGTTCACATTTGTATAAAATATAACATTAACATGTCATAAACAAATAACTACAAATAACATAAATAACATAACAATGTAATATAATTTAACCTCTCTGTTGAGAGCCAGGGGAATTATTTGATTATTTGTACTCCCCTGGCTCCCAACAGACAATACTGACTTAAATACATTGCAGAAAATGTACATGACAACAATCAATGTCATATCACATATAAATAGAACAAGTCACAACAAAGATCTCAAATCAATTATTCATTAACTGTTAAAAAATTCCAGATAAAAACTGTTTATTTTGGGTAGCAGACATAAACTAAATGTACATCATACTGGATGGCAAAGAGGAAAGACAATAGAGAGAACGAGAGAGAGAAAGGGAGAAAGGGAGAAAGGGAAAGGAAGAGAGAGAGAGAGAGAGAGAGGGGGAAGAGAGAGAGAGAGTGTGTGGAAGAGAGGAACAGTTCAGTGTGATATGAGGCATATACAATTTCACTCAAAACATTGCTTTGTAATAGACATTATTTATATTGCACCTGTGCTTAGTACTGTTACATATTATATGAAACGCTGCTATGCATGCCAAGAAGTACAAATACAACTGTATGCTAGTAACATGTACATATAGATGGTAGATACATTGTACAGTTGAAAGAAGAAAATTGATGTCAGATAGAAGAGGCTAGAAGAGAGACAAGAAAGAAAGAAGAAGAAAGAAGAAAGAAAAGTGGAGAAAAGGAAAGAGAGGAAAGAGAGGAAAGAGAGGAAAAGGAGGAAAAGTGCGGTGTGAGATATTGAAAATTGAATTGAATTGATGAGTCCACATGTCACTCACAACCAACCACCCAACCACATAACAGCAGGGAGAACCCCCTCCCCCTTGACCTTATAAAAGCCGACCCATCTTCACCCCCTGTACTTCCAGGATATGAAGAGAGAGAGAGAAAATCAGAGAGAGAGACAGACAGACAGAAAGAGAGAGACATAGAGAGAGAGAGAGGGGGGGTGGAGAGATATTATGTAGGATAGAGAGAGAGAGAGAGAGAGAGAGAGAGAGAGAGAGAGAGCAGAAGAAGAAAGAGGAGAGAGAGAGAGAGATAGAACGAGAGGGTAGGGGATCGTACTCGGGGGGTGGACAGGGTCATTCATCTACAGAAATTGTTGTTAAACACTTTCATTGCACTTGGGAGAAAGGACCTGCCGAACCTATCAGTTCTTATTCTAGGTAACCTAGATAGTCAGTTAGTTAATTTGTTGGTTACTACCGATAGAAGTTGTACACCTCTCTGTTGTCTGCACCTTCACCTGCTGTCACAACACATCCCATCCCAGTATAGCTTGGAAAGCTGCTACAGGGATTACCTCATCAAGTATCAAGACAGTGTCAAGTTCAGACACCGCCATCAAAATCAAGCGACTCGCTCATGATGGTGGTGTCACGTGTTTACAAATTCTGTTAATTGTAAAATGTTAATTTACCATAATTAAAATTGCGTTTGACACATAAAGAAAATACACAATTATTGACCGCAGAAATAAATTCAAACAAACAAAAAAGGAACGAACAAAAACTTAGTTAATATTTTTAGTTTGTTAGTTAAACGCTTAATTAGTTAGTCAATCATGACAAAGATGAAAAATCATTTATCGAATTCATCTGACATCGTCACTAATATGCGTTCGACTCACATTAATGGGAAATGTATCAATCAAAAAGCTGCTCTTTTATTCAAACATTTCAGATGCTAATGCTGACGCTTGGTGGTATTCTTCCAGTTACCGTAAGTATACAACTTTTTTTAATTTTTTTTTAGAGAAAAGATATTAATAAAGAATGTTGATAAGTCATAGGAGAGAGAGAGAGGAAGATATTTATAGAGAGAGAGGTAAGTGAAAAATCGCACCACCCCCCCCCCTTGAGCGCCAGGGGGGGGGGGGGGGAGAACCTCCAAAAAAAGGTAAAATTGAAACGTGTTTTTACACGTTTTTTTTATCCCAGGGGGGTGGGCCGGGCCCCCTGGATCCGCCACTGCTTGTATTACCATAATTGTATTAAAGTAGATATTCATTGATTTTAAAAACTAACTTTATTTTCATTATTGCAAAGTTGAAACTTTGATTCGACAAGGATATCAAAATTCAATGCTTGGAAACATTCGAAGTAATGATTATTATAAATAACAAAAACGCTTAAATACAGCCCCGGCATAGCACCTGAAGAGCTCTCCGAACGCTGCTGAGATGTGTGAGATCACAGTATGGACATGACTTGCACAAGCAGACGATGTCCCATGACATCTCACAAATTTTCAGTGCCTGTGTTTTCATCTTCTCTTGAGTTCTTTCTCTTACTTCAATACCGTCAGGCTAAATGTATAATCTATTGCCTCACTCTAAACCCCGCGCATGGTTTTATTTTGATGACAAATGCAGCGCTACAAAAATAAAGGAATCTGTCGCTTGTAAACAAAATAAGACGCCATGTATATTCAGCTGCACACACCGGGGTATGTTCGGCGTTTCAAGAGGGAACAAATGCCGTCCTTAATTATCATTCCGGGGGTTTTTCAATTTGAAAGTCTGGTTTATTTGATCGTTAATTAACCCCTATCCTGTGTATTACAAGCAAAAGATTTTAGTTATCAGAATCGGGTCATATCCCCTTTGAATGGTTTGACATGCCATTACATTTATATACACTAAACTCATTATAATTTGAGAAATAATAGCTTTGCAATTATGTTCATTCTCTATGGGATGTCGTCTGCTTGGGCAGTGTTGGTCCATAATAGTGACGTCATTAAAACATCGTTATTTTTCCGGCGAATCTCTCGTATATCCCAGCTGCTATGGAGGTGGTTGTATTTTTATTTTTTATAAATCACCCGATATGTAGTTGACCTAAAACTTGTACGATGGTCATCAGTGAGCTTACCAGTTTCTAGTGATACATTAGTTGACATATTTGTGATCTTCTTTGAATTTCACCTTTAAGCGAATTCGTTTTCACTGGTTGCCTGCCGTAGCAACAGACGGAATTAACAAAAGTCTTAACTCCGTTTCGTTGACAATCAGCCGTAGACGAAAGACTTCATGCATGGCTGATTGTCAACGAAACGGAGTTAAGACTTTTGTTAATTCCGTTTGTTGCTACGGCAGGCAGCCAGTGAAAACGAATTCGTTTGATAAAATTATGGAAATGCAAGCACTACTTTTATAAACAAACAGAATCTTGTCATTCCTTGCTCAATTTTCCTGATTGACGTGTCATATGAAATGGCAGAAACTCAACCTTCTAGAAATTTGATTTTCTCTTTGAAATTCAGATACCGTCCTCCAAATGACTTTTGGTTTCCTCTCTTCAAATTGATCTTAATCACTTATGCGTGAAATATGCATCAGAGTTGAATTAAATGAAAGAGGAGGATATAAGATTTACAGATATGTGTCATTTATTAATTATAAATGTGAATAAGTTATGATAAAACATCGCTAATTCTCGGTTTCGTTTTTTCTGGGACGCACTGTATAAGCAGCGCAATTGGTGAATTTATAACCTGAGAATGTATGAGCTAAGAGTATGTTAAACAAAAATGGACTGTAAAGAGGGAGATATAAAGTCGAATGATTTGATGAAACGATAGAGAGAGAGAGAGAGAGAGAGAGAGAAGGGAATAAATTGGGAGACAGGTGCCAGAATAAATACTCTGACGAATAGGTGATCTGGGAAGGCAGGTAATATGCCAACCCGTCATTATGCATCCCCCGATCCCCCCACCCCATTTTTAATTTGATATTGTCTAACTTCATTTTTGTGAAAAGTTTTAATAATATTCGAGCAAGAAAAATAAAATGATATTTGAATTTGATCTCACGCAGTACCATTTGGTACTTATTCCATACAGTGCATACTTTGTGCATAATAATTATATGTGACTTGTTTGATATTTCAGCTCTTATACCATTCACTAACCTCGTTACTGACAGAGAGACAACTGGTAAGATTAATTTTATATTCCGAAATGATTCGCTATATCTTTTGAACTGAATTTTAGTTTATTAACAACAACACATCATAATAATGACATTATAATTATGAGCAATCATACAATGCAAAGAATATACATAAAGGAAGAGTAATATTGATTGAACAGTAATGGTTTTAAAACGATATTTAGACATAGATATGCATACTATTTAATGCACAAGATATACACATAATAATGTATTACTAATAGGTGAAGTCGTTAATGGGGACTAGAAGTTAGCACAAGCGCTAGTCGAGCCCAGTTCCATTCTTTGGCAAGTTTTTTTTAAAACATATGCTTCTAATAACTTGTTTGCTTTGTATTTACATAGATTATATACACACAAATACAGTATCAAGTAACTTTTTTGCATTTCTAAAAGAAGAAAAAAGTAAGAGCGCTAAAGAATTATAATGTAAGATAACAAATCGTTGAACAAATACAATCATTGGTATGTTAATGAAGTGAAAAGGACGTATTAATAAAAACAAGACTTAAAATCATACAGATGTGCGTAGATGCGCAAATCTTGTAAAATCTTGGGGGCAGACATAATCATTAACAATACACTAGGGGTAGTTCAATAGGCCTGCAAAATAAAGAATAAATGCACAACGATGTGCAATTTATTTTATAGTTTCCATTAACTCTCTAAAAAAAAAAATGTAAAAAAAAATGAATAAAACATGCATGTTTTGGGGTAAATCCAACATTAGGTAAATTCTACCCAATATTGGGTTAAAATTTTGTACAGTGACTTCTACGATTGTACAGCGAATATACATGTAGTATCCAACCTTAGACAGTAAAAAGGAGAAGATTGCTGCAGAGAGAATATTCATTTTATGGGGGCTTCTAAGAGACAAGACAAAGGGCAGTAGACTATGTGTACAACTTAGTGAGTGTGTATTGTATAGAAAAATAATGAGTAGATGAAAAAGTTCCCAATGAAAGATTCAGATTACTAACTTCTACGGTTGTTTAGCATAGGTGGATATCATAATAACATTAACACAATAAATATTCATTGAGTTATGCCTAATCAATTTGTTCCCCTTCCAGATGGGCCACAACCCGACCCAACCACCATCACCCCTTCAGGTAAGATGAATGAAGAAATTATATCATTAATCTCCGTCACGTGCATTGTGATGATTTCCTTAACTAAAGCGTCTGATATTCTATCGCTTAAGAATTAATAAATAAGATTAACTTTCCGACATCAACTGGCAATTGATAAGGTTTGATCAGAGCGCCTAAAATGTATCAATTTCTTTCAAGGCAGGGGGAGGGGCGCTTGTAAAATGGCGACTAGCTGGAATGCTCCCCAGGGAGTGGAAAATGTGCATACATTGTGTTGCGGGTAAGCCTGAATCCGATGACCGGGTTAATAATTATGTTCCGCGCCTCGAAACAAGGTATTAGGCGCATTATAAATATGAGCTATTAATATTATTATTCCCCGTGCTGTAATTGGAATTTAAATTTGAAGTCTATCTGCACTAGTTTGGCCGGGAGGAATTAGACCTCCCTACATGGTCACTGACAGGTTGTTATCTCATCAAATCAGCTCTCAATTAGCATAAGAAACAGGGGACCATGGGGGACCAATGATCACCACTTAGGCATCGTTGCTATAAGAGGTCGCAAGGAGCTATAAGTAGTGCAGCGGGGCTTTAAATCAACATTTTAATCTGAATTTCAATCTGAATTTTCTCCGATGGCCACCACCATCATCCACAGGAGCCACCGTATCTTGTGAGAGCACATCCATGACGGTTCTCCTCGACCGAGCCCTGCTCGAGAATAACGGTGATGCCACTGACGTCCACTACGAAGACCAGAGCTGTGTCGGCTACGACTACACCGGAGGTCGCATAGCGGTCACGACCAGATATGACGACTGCGATACAGTGTCCGAGGTAAGATAGGATTCTTAATAACCTGCCCTGTAATCTGAGGAGAATCACAATTAACTTGTGATGTGGGGGAGGGGGGGGGGGGGGGTGGCGGGTATCAGAAGGAATACACTCTTATTTCCACAGCGTCAAATTTCACTCTAAATGGCGTCAGCTGGGAGTCAACTCTATTCCTAGTTAAAGTGACACGGAAAAGGAGTCATCTTGACTCTGAATTGAGTCAATTCTCAGCTGATGCCACACAATCCGAGTCAAATTGATTCGGAATCCGTGTCACTTTAACTAGGAATAGAGTTGACTCCCAGCTGACGCAATTTAGAGTGAAATTTGACGCCGTGGAGATAAGAGTGTAGTAGTACGTTTGCATTCTAGAGAGCATGTAGGAAGCTGTTGCGTATAACCTCACTAGATTTTAATACTCGGGGGGGGGGGGGGTTGTTTTCTAGATGGTGGCCCCTAAACCGGTATCTGGACAACCCGCGTGCTGTACATTATACTGCTCTAAATGCTGCCTTGGCAAAATTAGACTATTTAAAGGCCCTATACATTGACATTATTGGCTATAAATTGCCAACTCAATCTAACTTGATATTCTTGTTATCTTCTCCCAATTTTTTTTCCTAAGCAAACTGCTGATGTCATCAAGTACTCCAACGTCGTGACGTACTTCAAACCGACGGGTGAAAACGGATCGCTGATCACGCGTGATTTCCGCCTCAAGATCCCCGTCACTTGCGAGATCAAACGCCGCAGTCTACTCGGTAGCTCCTTCAAGCCCAAACTCGGCATCGTGAGCTTCAGCGAGACTGGTTACGGTAACTTCTCGCTCACTCTTGACCGCTACTCCGATATCTCCTTCACCTCGCCGGCACCCGACCCAGACGCGCTCGTGTATCTGGGGGAGACGCTGTTCTTCGGAGTGACCCTAGACGCGGTTTCTGAGCTGACGTTGTTTATTGACCGCTGCTGGGCAACGCCCGATGTCTACCCGATGAACCCGATCGAATTTATATTCGTTAAAGATGGGTAAGTATAATAAAGTCAGTGTTTCCTTCTGCTTCTAATTTTTTATTTTTTATTTTAATTGAGAAAGGGGGGGGGGGTAGATTTGTTGAAATTGTGACCATACGATGTGCACAAGACGTTCTCTGGTATAAGATACAAACTTACTTCTTTTCTTGTCTTTCACCTTTGATGTCATTTAATTTTAGTCTCTATTTTTATCTTCTTTCCATTTTTCATAATCTTCTCCTTATTTTGTTTTTAATTTCAAGTCATCATTCCGATTTCTACTTCTTTTTACATTATATTTCTAAATAAAGTTAGCCTTTGATTTTTTTTTTTTGATTTTTTTTTTTGTTGATTTTTTTTAATTTGATTTTTTTATACTAATGCACTGATTTCCCTCCCTTTTTCTTATTTCTTCCTCTTCCTCTTTCGAGAAATCGCATCTATTTTTTCTTTGCTGTATTCATTTCTACTCCTGATTCTCTGTAGTTATTATTTTCATTTTAAGAAAAAACAATTATCAGTCCCTTTCGATAACTCTTACATGTTTTTTGCTCTAATTTTTATTTCTATATTCTTTCATTTTTTTTACACAGATGTGGACTGGATCCTACCGTAGGCTTTCATGACATACAGCGTTTAATTAAAGGATTCTCTATCGATGCTTTTGCTTTCATTGGCGAATATCCAGAGGTAAGAATACACATCATATCTAATTCGGAAATTCTGGGGGAAATATCAGCTTAAGGGCATATCCAGAAATGGATACACGGAGGCGGGATCCTTTCGACGATTTTTCTGGACGCCGGTGCGTATAGCCACTTAGCCAGTTATGTTGGAATTGACCAGTCCTTTATTTCAGAAAGTGCCTTTTTTGTTGATGCATCTTCACTTTAAAATACGCCATGTTTTGTACACAGAGAAGGGGGATATTGGAAGGCGCATGGATTTGCCTGAGAGGATTCCTTTGGTGCCGCCACCATTTTGTATTAACAATATAATTATATTCAATTCATTCAAATTCTAATTTTATTGATTTCAATCCAAACAGATAGAATCATTCTCATTTTTGTTAGATTTAATAACAAATTTCAAAGTTATAGTGCAACATAGGGTGTAAGAGTAAAGATAAAAATAACCAGGAATGACTCAAATTAAATTTGAAGTTTGTACGACATTGCAACAACTAGTCCAATATAATTATGCACTATATTGCACCATAGCCACTGATAATGGAAAGAGCTTCCATTATAAAGGTGTGTATCAATGCTTTACGGGAATTTTTGTTCAAATAATATGAATAACCGTTAACAGCTATATTTTCATGATTGACAATTAAAACTGTAACTTTTGATCATCCTATCATACAGGTATACCTTCATTGTGACGTGCTTGTTTGTGATACCGACCCCGCATCCCGCTGCTCACAGGGTTGTGTAACCAGAGCCAAACGTAGCGCAGCCGGGCAGCCTCGGGGTTCGAGCTCCAAGCCACACACCATCTCTAACGGACCCATGTCTGATCAAGCTGCTGCTGGTTCAAGCTCAATGGGTGAGTTAATTGCACTCGAAAACAGGGGCGATGTCGCGATGATAACACTATCAGAATATAATGTTATCATCAGCTCCTAAACAACAAAGCACACCCCCCCCCCCCCCCCTCCCCAAGGGGGGGGGGGGGAGAAAGGCAATTTAATAGAATGGATATTGTTTTTAAAAAGAACAGTAACTTGGTCTAACTGATAACCGGTTTCATCTTTTGTCTACTTCACTGAATTAACAAAAATATGATAACGTATGATAGAATCTCTTAACAGTTTTGTTGAAATAGCGCCACCTTTGTGCCCAAATTTAAAATATGAAATTTATGTCTAACAAAAATTATCGTCTCTACGTTATAACACGTATTGCTGTCATTTGTTATTATCATTCATTCAGAAATTTACGGAACAAAAGAAAACATTAACGAACGAGAAAACAATTTTAATCACAATAACATTCAGAGTAGAGGAGAATTAAAACTGTTACTTTAAAAAACACCAAATTTAATAATTGTTTTGCTCTCCTCTAGACACTTCATGGTTGGCGAACCCAGTCAACATGATGCTGGTGGCAGCCGCTGGTTTCTTCATCACCATGGTTGCTATGGTAACGGTGAAAAAGTTGAGATCAAGTTCTAAAGCCTCTAAAGGATACAGCCGTCTGCAGACTGAAGGTGAAGTCGAAGCTTAGAAAGAGGAGAAGAAAGAAGAACAGGGAGAAGGGGGAGGAGGAGATGAAAGAAGAAAAAAGAGAGGAGATCAGATGAATGATGATGATGATGATAAAAATGATGGAGAAGATTAATGAGACATCAAGTTGGGATGACACATGCTTTTCTGGTCATTAATCAATTATCTCGCAAATGGCATATCTCTTGAATATCATGCATATATCATTAGAGAGTAATATGACATTTATAATTTGTATGTTGAAACGAAATTAAATAATGATTATATACAGATTTCGAAAATAAAAATAAAACGTTCTACAGTTATATTTCAGTTAACCTCTAGCTTTTTATAAAGACAACTTTTGTGATTACGTCTATGATAGTCACACTTCTGGCTATGTAGTTTTTTTACAAACGATTAACGATTAACGAAATGCTTAAGCCGGTACACCTCCTGCAAGAAGGTGTACCTATCCTATCACTATGTATCCCTTTTTCTTTCCCACACTATTTCCCATATTCTCTCTCTCTCTCTCTCTCTCTCTCTCTCTTTCTCTCTCTTTCTCTACCTTTCTCTAGCTACTTCTTATTCCCTCGCTCTCTACTACCATCTTTCTCACCTCTTTTTGACAGTGTTTTACTGCATCTATACGCTTTTTTTTTCTTCGACGCTGATAAAAAAAAGTTCTATGCCATGATGTTTAGTTTCCTTTTCATTGCTCCATTTGGTAGGATGCTGCCATTGCAATTATCAGTCTGCTATTGAATTGTGCTAAGAGTGACTGCAATAATTAAATCGACGTTGAATAAAAACCAATTGTTATTATCCATAGGCCTACATGACATTAAACTTTCTTTCAAAGAAAGCGATGTATGAAAATATAGATTTTTTCTTCTAAATTTGGTAATCTGTTTTCGCCTTTTGTAATCGTTTCATCACTATGCGAAAAATATCTCACTTGAAAATAAATTCTATCCGAATTGTTGATTAAAGAGACTTCGTTCAATATGTGTATGTGAGAACGATTGTTTAAAAGCTGTGTCACTTATAGAATCTGTATTCCTTTCCTAAGAACAAAACAAAAAACGAACAAAAACAATTAAAGAACAAACAGATAACTTTCAAGCAAGAATAATTGTTCATGGTTATACTTTCTTTAATTGATTTGATTTATTTTCTTCTGAATTCCATATAAATACTAACAATTTTCGGTAACTTAACGAACATAAAATTCTAAGAAATACTTTCTGACAAGCAATCATATATAAAATTATTATAGAAAAAATGAAAACAAAGATAAAATATCAAATTATCATATTTCATAAAACTTTATGAATTAGGCCTAAAAAAAAGAGATGTTGTGTTGCCCTTTGCGACCGACCCAACAATTTCGAGATCTACGGTCGGCTTTTTAAAAAAACCGTTTTTTAGTAAAAAAAAAAAATGTATCAAAGCATTCAAAACTGAGAAATATCAGTTTACAAAAAAAAGTAAAAAAACAACAACAATCCGACCGACCGACCCATGTTTTGGCACCTAATGGGCAATACAACATCTTTTTTGTAGGCCTTATTTGAGAAAGAAGGACTGCCATTGTAAGCAAATTGCTTGGAAATATGACAGCCCAAAACAAATTGTATTAATTAGACGAATATAATTATATTTATTGAGCAGAATGGACAATATTGTGATGATGTTGATGATGATGATGATGATGATGATGTCCTTTAATACAGCCTAAACGGGTCTCTGTTCTGTTCTAAATGTATTATCAAATCAATGGAGAATCGTCGTATTTTAATATGAGCTTTTGCAATGATTCAACTATCTGTTGTTGATTGGTCACGAATAACTGACTGTACAGATGTAAATGAGGCATGGTCAATATTTCAACATGTTTTTATCTCAAATTTGAATATGATAGCGCCACTGAAACGGATAAGAATAAAACAAAGATCAGAAACTTGGGTGACTAAAGATATTCTTTCCCTAATTCAAGAGAGAAATATAGTATACAAAAAATGGAGGAAAAGAGCAAAAGATGAGAAGCTCTATAAAAGATACAGAGTATTAAGAAATATGGTCCAAAGAGAGGTGAAAAAGGCTAAACTCGATTACTTACAAAACAAGATAGAAGAAAATAAACAAGATTCGAAAAAACTTTGGCAGAATCTAAAAAGCTTAGGATTGAAAAATAAGAAGCGAAAAGAACAAGAATCTGTCATTAAAATTGATGGGGAATTATGTCATGATAAGATGGCCATCGCTGATGAATTCAATTCTCATTTCACAAATGTGGCTGCCAAATTAGTAGACAAACTCCCCCCTTCCAAAGACTTTTTCAGCGCAGACAATGATTGTATTCGTGACTTTTACGAAAGAAAAGGTGTACGTGAAAACAGCTTCGAGTTATTACCAATCAGTGAACAATTTGTTTTCAAAGAGTTACGTAAGTTGAATGTATCAAAAAGTACTGGGTTAGACTTGATTCCAGCTAAATTTCTAAAAGATGGTGCGAAGGTTTTATTTAAGCCTCTAAGTTACTTAATGAACCTATCTATCTTGACGAGTACTTTTCCAGAAGATATGAAAATAGCAAAAGTGACTCCACTTTATAAAAAGAAAGATAAAACTGATGTTAGCAACTATAGACCTATTAGTGTTTTAAGCGTAGCATCAAAGATTCTAGAAAAATCGGTCTGTGTTCAAATTGAAAGATACTTCAAAGAAAATGATATAATTTATGAATTTCAATCTGGTTTTCGACATGATTATTCGACTGAAACATGTCTAATTCATTTGACTGATTATTTGAGGAGAGAAACTTCCCAAGGACGCTTTCTTGGTATGGTGCTCCTTGATCTGCAAAAAGCTTTTGATACAGTTAATCATTGCGTCTTATTGAAGAAGTTACAACTAATGGGTTTTGATAAGGCAAGTTTAGATTGGTTCAGATCCTACTTATCTAATCGGCACCAAGTAGTGGCCATTCATGATATTCGTTCCAAACTAATGCCTATAACATGCGGTGTTCCTCAGGGAAGTATTTTAGGCCCAATTCTATTTTCAAGTTATATAAATGATATGTGTATTTGTATAAAAGACTTCAAACTATTATTGTACGCAGATGACAGCGTACTACTCTATTCAAATCCTGATCCTAAATATATTGAGGAAAAGCTCAGTGAACAGCAAGTCTACGTGTGTCGATTGGATGACTGATAATAAGCTTTCTTTACACTTGGGAAAAACAGAAAGCATTTTATTTTGTTCTAAAAGTAGTTCTAAAAAGTCATTTGAATTCAAAGTGACACACAATAATCAAGCAATCAAGAGAAAAGAGTCTGTGAAGTATTTAGGCATTGAGTTGGCTAGCGCAATTTCATTTTCATCTTTAGTAGAATCAGTTGTAAAAAAAGCAAATTCTCGTCTGAAATTTTTGTACAGATATCAAAGTTGTATGGATTTAAAAGCAAGACGTACACTCTGTTTTGCTCTTATTCAATGTTTATTTGACTATGCTAACCCTGCATGGTACAGTAACATAAACAAGTCAGATCAAAAGAAGTTGAAGATTATACAGAACAAAATGGTGAGATTTATCAACTGTTCTGGTCCAAGAACTCATGTTGGCTATATAGCGAACTTTCTAAAGCTGGTTTTCTTGAAGTCGACCAAAGATCAAAACAACTCGCATTGCATCACGTGCATAAAATATATCATACTAGGGCGAATCATTATATTCGATCCAACTTCGATCTTGTTACTGACGTACATGATTATAATACAAGAAATAGACGATTCAACTTTAACTTACCAGAAAGAGTAGGTAGTATTGGAAATTCGTTTTATTACAATGCCATAAAACATTGGAATTCCCTTCCCAATGGTGTAAAAGAAATAGGAAACTATGATCATTTTAAGAGGAAATTAAAGGAATACCTAATACTTGACAGTCAGAGAAGAGAAGTGAATGACATGTTATATGATTGAAATTGTTATTCTTCTGTCGGTTCATACTTTTTCATGTTGTATATACTTATGTTTTCGTACGTTATAGAAATTCTACAAATTCATCATTATTTTCCTCTTCTTCCTTCTCCTCTTTTTCTTCTTCTCCTTCTTCTTTTTCTTCTTGTACTTAATATCATTTCTATCATCAGTTTAATGTTGTTATTATTATCTTTAATAAGTAGTTCTTTTAATTTTCTTATCTGTCTGTAAATATTACTATTTTAATTTATTAATTGTATACATGTCTGTAAGGGACCCCACTGGAAATAAGCTCTCGAGCTTTCGTGGGTTATCCTGTTCAAGCTGACTTATTTCTGATCTGTTATTATTGTATATTGTTGTATATTGGAAGCTTGTCGAATAAAAAAAAAAATCAGAGAATATGGAAATTAATACTGCATCATGCTGCATATATAAGGCTCCTTTCTTTTACTTAAATAGGAATAGGAATATAAATTTTTTACCAGTCTATTTTAAGACATGTAATCAAGTGGAAATTTAAAGAATTGGTAATAAATAACAACTATTATTTTGATTTGGAAACAGAAATTGCTTAAACTAAACCTCATTAATAAAAGTAGGTCATTCACCTTCCAAAAATGAATACTAATGAGACAAATGAATAAACATTAGGAAAAACATATCCACGATTAAAGAAAGGATTCCGGGCCGGTGACTACATCGCAAGCAAAATGTAGAACAGCACGAAATGAGACATAAAACCCTAAATTTATTTCCTTCAAATGATAGAGAATGACTTTGTGTCAAATTCTTAGAATCTGTTCCAAAGGGAGGGGTCTTTTTTATGATTTAGAAATTGTTCAATATTAGTAGAGTGTTATTTGAATACCAAACACCTCCTTTTGAATGGTATGCTCCAAGTCAATGCATGTCTGGGGGCGTTAACCCTTAGAAGTTGGCAGGGTTACTTTACGCGCACACACTGTTGGTAGAAACATCGAGAAAAATGCATTAGAAGCAACGTTATAAACGAGCGCGCACAGCAACCAACTTACGCGCTGGGGGAAATGACTAGGCGGTGACGTCACGCACCAAAACAAATATAAGTAGCGTGCGAGAGATTTGCCCTTCACAAGCTAATCTACCTTTGCATCCAAGTTGCACATGCTTAAAAAGAGAGAAAATTGTTGAATCTTTCAGCACAAAGCATCGTTGGTGATTAATATAAAAAGCAAGATGGGTTTCTTCCCCAAAAGCAACCGTGTCATGCCCGTGGTGGATGTCGAACTAAAACCACTGAACCCCGGGACCGAAAATGACCTGCCACCCAGAGCAATCAGAGCCAAAGTCAGGAGACGAAAGTCCAAGAAAGGGAAGGGATTTTGGAAACTGTTCACAGGATTCTTTGCAGGGATTCTTTGTGTAAGAACACACTTTATATTTAAGATATAAATAACAAAATGTCACGTTTAACAGACATATATAGATCTATAAAAGATAAAAGTAAAGGCAATTTAAAGTGAATCTGTTGAGTGAATATGATTATGAAGGTTTTTGAGAAAAAGTGAGGGAATTTAAATAAATGTTTAAAAATGTCATTATTATCATCAATATCAAAAATATTTGAAGCAATAAATGCCATTCTAGGTCAAAAGTTCTGTTGTCATTAGATTCACATCGCAAGGGATACACAATGCAGCTTGTCACCATGACATTAGTTTTCTACATTGCTTTAATGTTATTGTCTCCATACAATAGGCGCGCTACGGTTTTCCCCGTCTCCATGCCCACCGGACCCCGCCCCTGTGACTACACCCATGACGTATTTAAAAGAGAAAGTTGTGACACGCAAACACGATCGAAGCCTAAAGGTCAATTCATGGAGCTCACAATACATAGTTTGTATGTGAGAGGGAACTGACCTGTGATCGTGTTCGTGTGCACGTCTGAAACTATCTCTCTCAATACGCTATGGCCACGCAATACCGTTGTGACGTACGTGAACATGCTT